TAGATATAGATAGATAGATAGATAGATAGATAGATAGATAGATAGATAGATAGATAGATAGATATAGATAGATAGATATAATAGATAGATATAGATATAGATATAGATATAGATGAAAGCCAGTGGGGTGACTTTGGGCCAATCACCAGGAGACGGCGAGTTCTAGTCCCACCTTAGGCCTGAAAGCCAATTGGGTGATTTTAGACGAATGACCAGGAAACAGTGAATTCTAGTTTCGCTTTAGGCATGAAGGTGACTTTGGGCCAATCACCAGGAGGTGGTGAGTTCGAGTCCTGCTCTAGGCCTAAAAAGGCATCCTTTTTCACCGGAAAATTCACATTTGGCCAAGAAGGGTTTCGTGCCTTAGAGCCGAGTCGGCCTCCCTCCCTCTTCCATCTCCCCCCCCACCCTCCATTCCTTCTTAACAGACGGCACCGACTCACCTGACTGGCCCAAGGCCATTTCGGCTTCCCGCATCTTGGCCAGTCGCAACCTGTAGAGAAAGGAAGGAGTGGTCAAATATTCTTACTAGACTACTACAACACATTCTTCCCGGGGCCGCCCTAGGAGACTATTCAGAAACTAAGATCCGGGTGGGAATCTTACCGGCTGTCTTCAGTCCTTTTACATGCTCAGAGGGCCCAACAGGAGGGCCAAGAAATCTTCTCCGATCTTAAAACCAAGTCACGGAACAACCCCCTGTCTCCCGTCCCCCAAATGAGAGGGAGGGTCTGGATGGCCCCTGGGTGGCCCGTTCCATGCAAGAAACCCACTTTTTGGTACCCTGGCTTTCTCCAATTTGCAAAGGGTGGGTGGGTGGGTGTTCGGGAAAGCCAAGAGTGTGGAGACCCCCCCCACCTCCTCCCAATATGTCCCGCCTTCGTCCAAGATTGGCACCCGCGCCCCTGGCACACACCCCCCCTCTTACAAGGTCACAATGTCCGCGTTGGCCGAATCGATGGCAATGCCAAGGGGATCCTTCCCTTCTCCGTCGACGGCTTTCATATTGGCACCACGTTTGAGAAACAGACAAGCCAGCCTGGGATGGGAAGAAAAAATGGGATGAACCAAAAATTTTAAAAAAAACACCATATAATTTCAGGTAGTCCTCGCTTTACGACCACAACCGAGCCCCGGCATTCCCGCTGCTAAGCGAGGCCTTGGTGTGGTTTTCCCTTCTAATTCTGAATTCTCTTCTCTATTATATTATATTTTCTATTTTCTATTCTCTGTTCTATTTCTATTCTATTTTTATTCTATTCTATTCATATACTATTCTATTCCATTATTCTACTCCATTCCACATTTTATTATTCTATTCTATATTATTCTATTCTATTCTATTCTACTCTACTCTATTCTCTTCCCTTCTCTTCTAATTTTGAATTCCCTACTCTTCTCTATTATATTATATTTTCTATTCTATTCATATTCTATTCTATTCCATTATTCTATTCTATTCTATTCCATTCCATATTTTATTATTCTCTTCTATATTATTCTCTATTCTATTCTATTTGGTTGTTCTCTATTCTCTATTCTTTTTCTCTTCCCTTCTAATTCTGAATTCTCTTCTCTATATTATATTTTTATTCTATTCATATTCAATTCTATTCTATTCCATTCCATATTTTTATTCTATTCTCTTTTATTCTCTTTTATTCTCTTTTGTTCTCTATTCTCTATTCTTTTCCTCTTCTCTTCTAATTCTGAATTCTATTCTCTTCTGTATTGTATTGTATTGCATTGCATTGCATATTCTATTCTATTCTATTCTATTCTATTCTATTCTATTCTATTCTATTCTATTCTATTCTTCTCTTTTCATTCCCTTCTCCATTCCCTCCTCTCCCCCTTCTTCTATGGCTTTCAAATAACCTTAAACCCCCAGTCAGAGGCACCACGAGGGACGCCCCAGTCGGAGGTGCCAGCCCAGGTTCCTACCCGGTGTGGCCCAGGATGGTGGCGTGATGCAGCGGCCCCCGTCCTTTCGAGTCGCTCTGGTTGACGTTGGCCCCGTTTTGGAGCAGAAACTCACACGCCAGCAGCGAATTCTGCGCAAAGACAACACAGAGAGATGCGGTTGCGTAGAAAAGGGGGAGGCGGAGCAACCTGGAGGAAGTTCCTCCCCCCTCAACAAGCCCCTCCTTTTTATGCCCCTGCCGTGACATCCCCCCCCCCCATGAGTTGAAATCACTGCACATGCTCAGAGGCCACATAAAAGCCGAGTGTGTGCCTTGCTTAATGGCAACAAAAGGGGTTAGGGTCCAATTGCAGTCCTCGATTTATAACCACAATCCCCCCCCCAAAAAAAATTATGTGGCTAAGCGAGACAGAGGTGCCCCATTCTCCGCCCTTTCTGGCCATAAGCTGTTCAGGGGATCAACGCAGTTGAGAAATTGCTCCCGCGGTCGTTAAGTGAAGCGGGCTTCCCCGTCGACTCTGCTTGTCTGACGGTCGCAAAAGAGGATCATGTGACCACCGGAGACACTGCGAGCATCGTTAAGCGTGAAAAACCGATCCTGAGCCACGTTTTCCAGAGCTGTCGTAAGTTTCGAACGGTCGCTATATGAACGGTGGTAAGTCATAAAGCGGAGCCGGTTGGCAAGCATCCAAATCTGGGTCAGGCGACCCCCAGGGGGACGCTGCGACTGTCACTAAGTGTGAAAAATGGTCACAAGACACATTTTTCAGAGCAGTCGTTAAGTGAAGCGGGCTTCCCCGTCGGTCGCAAAAAAAACAGTCATAAGTCCCATTTTTCAGAGCCACCGTCACTTCGAGCGGTCGCTAAACAAAACGATCATAAATCGAGGACTGTCTGTATGCTAATCCAACCCACAGCCCCCCTCCAGATGGGGGAGACCGTAACCCATCATCCACTCCCAACCCCCACGGAATGAAGAACTCACGGCGGACACAGCCTGGAGCAGCGGAGTCCGGTTTTCCTGGCCCGTGTTGACCCAGTTAACGTCGGCCCCGTGAGCCAGAGCGTCTGACATGGTGGGCAAGCTAGGGGGCGCTCCGGCCGCGCGGTAGAGGAGGGCACCGGGATGCAAATGGCGCAGGTCCTCGGACGCTGGAGGTGCCCGGCTTGGGGAGAGCCCCTCGCGGAGCCCTGGGAGAGAAAAACAAGAGACTTAGAGGTCATCCTCGTTTAGCGACCATGGTGGGGACCAGCAAGTTCGGTGGGGAGCGGGCGCTAAGGGAAACTGTGGCTCTGATTTCCTGGCGATTTCAGACCTGGAAGATCAGGAACGGAAGGATAGTTACTTTGTGATCAGAAAAGAAGAATAGAGAGGGAGGAAGGGAGGATGAGGGGAAGGAGGGAGGGAGGGAGGGAGGAAAGGAAGGAAGGAAGGAAGGATGAAAGAGGGAGGGAAGAAAAAGATAAAAGGAAGGGAAGGGAATGGGGGAAAGAAGGAAGAAAGGAAAAAGAAAAAAGAAAAAGAATAGAGAAGGAGAAAGGAAGGAAGATGAGGGGGGAAATGAAAGGAAGAAGGGAGGAAGGAAAGAAAGAAGGAAGGAAATAGACAAAAGGAAGGAAAGGAAGGAAATGGGGGAAAGAAGGAAGTTAGGAAAGAAAGGAAGAAAGAAGGAAGGAAAAAGAAAGAAAGAATAGGGAGGGAGGGAGAAAGGAAGGAAGATGGGGGAAGAAGAAAGGAGGAAGGGAAGAAAGAGAAAGAAAGAAGGAGGGAAGGAAGTAATAGACAAACGGAAGGAAGGAAGGGAATGGGAGAAAGAAGAAAGAAGGAAGGAAAAAGGAAAAAGAAAGAAAGAATAGGGAGGGAGAAAGGAAGGAAGATGGGGGAAGAAGAAAAGAGGAAGGGAAGAAGGAAAGAAAGAAAGTAGGAAAGAAAGAAAGAAAGAAAGAAAGAAAGAAAGAAAGAAAGAAAGAAAGAAGGAAGGAAGGAAGGAAGGAAATAGACAAAAGGAAGGAAGGGAAGGGAAAAGAAGGAAGTTGGAAGGAAGGGAGGGAGGGAGGGAGGAAGGAAAGAAAGAAAGGGAGGGAAGGAAAAAGACAAAAGGAAGGAAGGGAAGGGAAAAGAAGGAAGTTGGAAGGAAGGGAGGGAGGGAGGGAGGAAGGAAAGAAAGAAAGGGAGGGAAGAAAGAAAGAAAGAAAGAAAGAAAGGAAAGAAAGAAAGAAAGAAAGAAAGAAAGAAAGAAAGAAAGAAAGAAAGAAAGAAAGAAAGAAAGAAAGAAAGAAAGGAGGGACCAGACATCTGTTGGAGGAGGGCCAGACAGGTGGCCTGGTGGTGTCCCAGGAGGCCACCTAGAGGCCAAAGCTTGGAACTGCAGCTATCCAGGGGGGAAAGCTTGCCATCACTCAACCTGGATGATGGAGACCCTTGATTGACAATCCTGGGGGGGGGGGGATTTTGATAGAAGGGGGGCGGGGAGGGGGATTCGCACCTGGAGCTTCCGGGTTGGGGGCGCTTCATGTTCATTTCCTCCACCCTGGCCTCGTAGATCTGGTTGATCACCCGGTTGCCCAACACCGTCATCAGCTGCGGGAGACAAGGGAGGGGCTGAATCTACAGGCTCCGCCTCCTCCGGGTAGTAGGGGAAGAGGAGCGGAGGAGTAAGAGGCGGGGCTAAGGGGTCTTGCAGGAGTTGGGACAGCCGTCTCCCCCAAACACGGGAAACTTTCCCTCCCTCCCTTCCCTCCTTCTTCCTCTCCTCCCTCTCTCTTCTTTCTTCCTTTCCTCTCTTCCTTCCCTCCCTTTTCTCCTCCCTCCCTCTTTCCTCTCTCCCTTTCTCCCCTTCTTCTCCTCCCTCCCTCCCCCTCCTTCTTCCTCCCCTCCCTTTTCCTCCTCCCTTCGTCTCCTTCTCTCACTTCCTTCTTCCTTCCTTCCTTCCCTATTATTATTCCCTCCCTCCTCTCTCTTCTTCCTTCCTCCCTTCTTCTCCTCCCTTCTCCCACCCTCGTCCCTTCTCCCTCCCTCCTTCTCTTACTTTTTCTCCTCCCTCCCCCTTCTTCCTTCCTTCCCTTTCTTTTTCTCATCCCTCCCTCCCAAATTTCCTTCCCTTTTTCTCCATTCTTCCTTCCTTCCTCTTCTACTCTCCTTCCTTCTCTCCCTCTCCCTCTTCTTCCTCCCTCCCTCCCTCTCCTTCCTCCCCTCCTTCTCCTCCCTCTTTTCTTGCTCCTTTCCTTTCCCCCTCCTCCTTTCTCTCCTTCTCTTCCCTCCCGCTTCTTTCTCGCTCCCTTCCTCTCCTCCCTCCCTCCTTCTTTCTTCGCTCCTTCTCCCTCCCTTCCTCTCCTCCCTCCCTCCTTCTTCCTCCCCTCCTTCTCCTCTCTCCCTCTTCTTCCTTCCTTTTTAATAATCTCCCCTCCTCCCTCTCCTTCCTCTCTCTTCCTCTCCTTTCTCCCCTCCTTCTCCCTCTTTTCTTGCTCCTTTCCTCTCCTCCTCCTTTCTCTCCTCTTCCCCCCTCTTCTTTCTCACTCCCTTCCTCTCCTCCCTCCCGCCTTCTTCCTTCGCTCCTTCCCCTGCCTCCCTCTTCTCCCTCCCTCCCTCCTTCCCTCTCCCTCCCCTCCTTCTCCTGCCTCTCTCTTCTTCCTTCCTTTTTAATAATCTCCCCTCCTCCCTCTCCTTCCTCTCTCTTCCTCTCCTTTCTCCCCTCCTTCTCCCTCTTTTCTTGCTCCTTTCCTCTCCTCCTCCTTTCTCTCCTCTTCCCCCCTCTTCTTTCTCACTCCCTTCCTCTCCTCCCTCCCGCCTTCTTCCTTCGCTCCTTCTCCTCCCTCCCTCTTCTTCCTCCCTCCCTTCCTCTCCTTCCTCTCCTCCTTCTCCTGCCTCTCTCTTCTTCCTTCCTTTTTAACAATCTCCCCTCCTCCCTCTTCTTCCTCCCTCCCTTCCTCTCCTTCCTCCCCTCCTTCTCCTCCCTCTTTTCTTGTTCCTTTCCTTTCCTCCTCCTTCTTTCTCTCCTTCTCTTCCCTCCCTCTTCTTCCTCACTCCCTTCCTCTCCTTCCTCCCCTCCCTCCTTCTTCCTTCGCTCCTTCTCCCTCCCTTCCTCTCCTCCCTCCCGCCTTCTTCCTTCGCTCCTTCTCCTGCCTCCCTCTTCTTCCTCCCTCCCTCCTTTCCTCTTCCTCTCCTCCTTCTCCTGCCTCTCTCTTCTTCCT